CCTGACTTACCACATTTCTAGAGTTAGAATAACTGGATTTCAAAATAAGACCTCAGTGTCAACCACTTTCACCAGTTCAATATCCCCACAAATGGCAAAGCATAGAACTCCACGAATCAACCACAGACTTACGCTGTGAGCCCAGTGTGCCTGTAGGAGGAGGGCAGAAGCAACAGGGAAAACCCAAAGCTCCAGATGCTCTCTGGAACCACAGGGGTGTATTTACCAGAGTGATGCAGAGTGGCTTTGCCCCGCCCAATAGCAGATAAGGGGGGGGGTCTGTGCAAAGTTCTAAAATGCACTGGAACAATTGACAACACACAGAGCTTGAACAGCAACTTAACAAACTCAAGACAGGCCCCGCATTGTGGATGAACTGCTAGACGTAGAAATCAAACGTCAGTGGAGCATGGTAAAGAGAGGCAAAGCAAGGGGTGCCCAGGCAAAGTGGGGAGGGTGCAGCTGGGAGAGCGCGGCAGAGCATAGCATACACCCCAGAAGAGCACGCTCATCACCCAGTGCTCTAACGCTGCTCTTGCCCGTTCCCTTGTGCAGTGCCACTGTAACTCTCTGGTCACCTGGACATGTCTGTCATTTATTAGCACAAGACTGTGCTTTCCCCAGTTGATGGTAAGTAGCAGGAACAGCCAAGACATTACAGTAAATTTAGGTGGCCACAGATTCTAATTCAAGCTGTTATAAATAATTTTCATATGGTTTTCCTGCCCTGTGTGGACCCAAAGAACAATAAAATTGAGCAGAAAGTCATTGAGGTAAATAAAACAGACAAGTGTGATAATATCTATGCTTTTAATGCCATTTGGCTAAAAGATGTGCAGAAGGTTCTACAAGGTAGAGTTATGACAAGAAGCTCTAACACTTCTAAAATTTGAGTTAAGTATATGCCCTATCAGAGCAAAATAAGAAAGAGTTAGACATTTTCACAAAAGCCGGGAATGTTATTTGATTTCAGCTTGCATGTCAAGGAAAACTGGGTGCAGGCTGTATCCCTCACACTTCTTTAGAAGTATTGTGGGGAGGGAGGTGGCAGACAAAGGACATGTTGCAAGGTGGTTCTAACTCGTCTAATTTCACATTTCCCTTTTGTTTCTGATAACAGTGTGGCTCGGAGCACTCCTCTCCAGTGTCTATGAAATACCACAGATGTTTGTGATTTGAAAAGATACTGACATTCTTTTCCATGTGTGTAAATTCCACTGCCCACTGTCATTCTAAGTGGCATTTAATGTTTGTTCTAGAATGTTTTCCTGGTGTCTCCTATTTAAGACATTTATGAAGGATTTCTTCCTTTCTTTCTCTGTGGTGATTTTTTTCTTCTTAGTCAGGAGAGGCTGTGCCTGCTCACTCCTACAGAGCTCCTTTACTGACTCCATGCTTTCTTTAAGTTGCCTTCCCCTTTGATGGCATTCTTGGTGCTCTCTGAGGTCATCTTATAACTTCCCTAAGTCCAGCTCATTTTCTTTAGTCTGATTTCAAAAAGTTAACCTTTAAAAGATCACCCACATAGTTCTTAATTGCAATATCTGGAGTTTTCCTTAACATTTAAGGCATTGAATATAATTTTTGATAAACTATTTTCCACCAGATTCTAACCTGGAATACAAAACTTAAATATCTTTTCTATTTTAAAAAGATTTTTTTACTTCATCTTTTAAAATACTTTCTCTTGTAGCTACTCTAATTATGCTTCCTCAGTTTATGTTTAAACTCTTTGTAATTCAAATTGCTTAGAAACTTGTTGTACATGAATGCTCTGTATTTTAGTTTGCATTGGTAAGCCATAAACTTAGTTGCTTAATTGACTTACGGTTTTAATTAATAAGTTACCTGGTTAACTAATTATTTTAAAATTTCAAATAGGGGCTTGTTGTACAGCTACAGTTAGTTGGAGTGCCGTCACCCAGAAGGCTCACAGGTGCTCACAGTCTGGTTCCCTCACAGCACACACACAGGTGTACACACATCTACAGGCATATGCACGTGTACATTTGTGTGCACATACATGTGTACACACTCACACACTTGCACACAGACGCATGTGCAAGCACACACTCACTAACACAGATCCACTTGACCCTTCATACATGGACTCACACACACACACACACAGATCAAACATGCAGACAGACTCACTTGCTATTTTTTGTCCAATGGGGCCACACTGAACACGTTTAGGGTACATCAATGTATTTCTTAACTCAAGATTACAGCCCTTCTCTGTCATCCATCCAGGCTCTAAATTGTTATATATTCCCCAGTCTCATAGCTGTTTAAAATATTAGAGAAGACTCAACACTGTAAATCCATGTTGATATGTCATCTAGAGATATTATTGAAAGATCATTAAAAAGAAACAAGTTAGCCATAACCATATGTTAATAGTGTAGGTTCAACTATGTATTGTTGACTATTTCATCTATGTTTGTTATAAAAGGTCACTATCTGTTACATAAAATCTCATGTATGCCTAATGCTATAGACATAATTTTTTATTATATTTCTATTTCTTTGTTTTCCTCTAATGCTATGATGCAGATGCTTTCTTCATTATCATTCAGTACAGGAAAATTGAGATTCATATCTCTATAGCTTTCTAAAATATATGAGGTTGCTATGAGAGGTATTATTCCTATTCCGTTGTACTCCACCAGCCACCATGCTCTTGCCTCATGGTATATACTAGTTTTTAAAGACAAATGTTATAGTTCAGGACCTATGACATTCACTGAAGGGGAGGTAAATTTAGGTACTTGGCTAGGTTCACATTGCAAGGTTTATTTCTTATTAATGTGCAATTTTTTAAATGAATTGGCATTTTTCTTTCAGTGTGCAGAATAAAATGTATGCATGTATGTATTCCACTTTTGTGGACAGAGATCTATGGGGGAGCTAAAATTTCCTGGATCCCGATAATATGGTTGAGTTTCTTTCAAATATGTAATTATCAACTGTGATAATTGAAAAAATGATCATTACTTAGATAACAAAACTCAATTGCAAGCTGTTAGGGGCATTTAATATAGCATAGTATCTCACATGGAACTCATAGCTCGTGTTTCTGGTTTAATTTTATAATAGATCTTAACTGCTTTCTATCATCATCTGTATAATAATCATCATTACTAATTTAATAATTTGGTATTCTAGGTAAAGCTTTCATGTACATATTTTATTTATGGTATGGTAATTCAAACTGTGTTGCTGATTTAGGAATATCATTTATAAATGCCGTGAAACATCAACACTGGTTTGGAAGAATTTAGGCTCAGTCAATTTCAGACTTTCTTGTATTTTGATTTTTCAGATTGCATTTTCGCAACACAATACAATCATGGATCTTGTCCAGTTTTTTGTCACCTTCTTCAGGTAATTAATTGGCTTCACTGACTTTTAACTCATTAATCCTGTGTGTGTGTGTGTGTGTGTGTGTGTGTGTGTGTGTGTGTTGTGTGTGTGTGTGTGTGTCTGTGTGTGTGTCTGTGTGTGTGTCTGTGTGTCTGTGTGTGTCTGTGTGTGTCTCTGTGAGTGTGTGTGTATCTGTGGGTGTGTGTGTATCTGTGGGTGTATTATGTCAGATCATTTATCAACTAGTTCTGTGAGTGTGTGTGTATCTGTGGGTGTATTATGTCAGATCATTTATCAACTAGTTATCTTGCTATTCCATTTCTTGAATGCACACTATGTATGTCCTATAGAGTAGACGGATGTACTTGAATGTAGTTGTAAGATCTTTTATGCTGTTTTGAGGGCAGTGAATTCAGTAGAAAGACAACAAGTTTGGAGTCTCCTTTCACTTAAATAATTAAAACTACTTTGATTAATGAAATTAATAGCACACATACCTTGTGGATTAGTTAAATCTTCTAGAATCGAATCAGTTCAATTCTTTGTTGACTAATTAGAGTGTGTACTTTGTGATATAATAAATGTGTGGTGAATAAGAACACGTGCAATTTCTGCTTTGAAGGAGTTTCTAACCTAGAAGCACTATAAATGCCTATGAATAGCATCAAGTCCCCGGATCCATTGTTCTGTTACACATTAAAGTAAGTTATTAAGATAAAAAGAATTTTAAACTGAAATTGTAGATGAATGATATAAACCCAAAGACAGATATTGGGGTTCAAGCTGAAGATGAGAAAAGCAAAGCAGCCAGCCAGTAGCTCCTACCTCTCCTAAAGGCTGAAATGGAGATCCTGTCTTCTCTGTGACTGGAATCTGAATCTCACATGAGACCCTTTGTTTCTTGCTTATGTATCTCTCTAGTGTTGGGATTAAAGGCGTGAGCTCTATTTCTCTTTTAGACTGATTCACTCTTGTGTGGCTCTGGGTGGTCTTGAACTCCGAGAGAGCCATCTGCCTCTGTCTTCTGAATCCTGGGATTAAAGGTGTGCACCATCACTGCCCAGCTATGACTATGACAATGACTATGACTAGCCTTGCATTCTGATCCTTCAGGCAAGCTTTATTAAATCATGAATAATATATCACCACAGAAACAACTTTGGAATGTTCTGTGTCTTATAATGTACATGGACATCTGCGAGTTGATTCTTTTTAACTGACATTACTTTTTAAGTGGCCGATTGACCTGGGTTTCTTAGAGAGAGGATGGTGTTCTTAGTATCCAGAAGCATCCAGGCCTGCAGGGAATCTCATTTTCATTGCCATGGTTGTAGATGAGGAGACACTCAGCTTGGGAAGGCACAGATAAGTGTCTGTGCTATGGGACCTTAGATAAGTCATTTTGTGAGCATTGCACTGGATGTGTATCTCAGTGGTGTGCTCTAGGACTGTGAAAATTAGACAAATATCTCCTGTCAATGATGTGCAGCCCACACCCTGCACAGCGCTTCAACCAGGCTGAAGTAGACCTTCAGCCCACCGCCGGCTTGTCTGGGCTGATTCAGCCATCAACCCAATTGTTGGAATATGGAATATTGTCCCTGTTCCCAAACACCAGGCAATCATATTTTGCTTGCGGTGTCTTGTTCAGTGTCTGTGTTGTTTCTGGGTCCCTGTATCTTCTCCACTGGAGTCTACAGATACTTCCAGTTGAGAGACAGAGAGTAGAGGTTTCAAAACTTTATGCTCATGCAATATCCTTGCATCTATGTAACGTATTTGCTCCAGAGCTAAGAGTGGTATGGAAGGACATTCATGGGAGGAGTGGCAGCTATCCACTAAAACATGTGCCCATGAATTGATTCTGTGAACCTGAGTCTTCCAGTTCTTGAGCTAGCTCATGCCTGAGTACATTTAATAACGAGACAACTCTCGAGATTGTATTCCATGTCATCTACTAACTGGTTGTTTTTATAATTGAGCTGCAACCTATGTATTCTGATCTCTTTTGATTCACCTATGGGGCCTTATGTCACCTATGGGGCCTTATGTCACCTATAGGGCCTTATGTCACCTATAGGGCCTTATGTCACCTATAGGGCCTTATGTCACCTATAGGGCCTTATGTCACCTATAGGGCCTTACATATACCAAGTTTGATCTCTCATCTTCACCTGCCAATCAGAGTTTCAAATTCTTTTCTTCACTCTTCACCTTCTCTGTTTCCTTGCCTACCTTTTCAAAACCTTTGTCATGTTAGTCACCGTGCTCTGAAAGCCAGCATTTTTGTCTGTGTGTACAGTAATACTAATGTTTTAATACTAAATACCATCTGCATATTTACCCATCATAAGTGCAGAAAATTCATTCCTGCCTTAAACATTTCCCCTAAAGGTGGAACTTGGAGAAGTATCTTAAAATGTTTCTGTCTTACAATTTTATTTCTTAGAAAAAATGACTTTTAAGAATAGTAACAGAGATTCAGTGTGCTTTTAGATGAAGCCAAAAGTTACAATGGAATGACCATCATCTAATGCATTAAAATTAAAATACTTGATGCAAAATAGTATGGATCAAGATATACTAAGTTCAGTTATGTGTGAAAATTCACAAGCGAATGAATGTACATGTAAATTATTCAAATATTTAAAGTTTGGAGCCTCTGAATTTGTGCACATATATTTAAATTCAGGAGCTCTTTTATTAAGCAAAGGAAAGCTAGTTCAATGAATACCATATATTAGACATGATTTCCTTTATTAGGTTGCCATTATAGACAAAGTGAATTAAAATATTCTAATCATTGTGTGTGATCAAATATGTTTGATGGGCTCTTTGTCATTTAAATTTCTTCTAGTAGTGAAATGTAAATTAGATAATTTAAAATCATCTCATTGTTAGGAAAATGCATAGATGACTGTTTTGAAGTCCATTAACTTACTTTTCTACAAGGCTACCACAAAATTGAAACAAGTTGATGTTTATGGACATCCCAATCAGGCTGCTTGCCTCTGTTGTGGTTTGGGACCAGGTCAGCCTGTAAGTGGATGACGCAACTTCAGCTTAGTCAGCATTTGAGGCCCCCTGTCTAACACTGTGTCATGAGCTTTTTTTACCTTCTCATTCTGGGCTCTTGTGGTGGCAAACACAATTGGGCCAGTACCAGTGAGATCATTTATAGACACAGCTCGGCTCTGATCTTGGCTCTTTGTGTTGTCTTAAGTAGGTCACCCAGCTCCTCCAACTCTCGGCCTTTTCATATTTATAGGATCCAAGGATTTTTCTTATTGCTGTTGGGGAATGTGATAAAATACTTTGGTACATGATTATAGAAATGCAAGGGATTGTTTTATAATATTTTTTCTCTGTTATGTGGAGTAGAATAGCAAATTGTTCTCAACCTGAAAAGTCTGTATTACTTAAGGAAACATGTTAAATGGAAACAAGGCAGGCACATTTTTAATGGTACCACTCATTCCTATTGTCCATTGGGTGTGGCTGATGTCTGGAGCAGGTTGTCAAAGTCCTGGAAGTTGTCACTGTTCTTCCCTACTTGATTTATAGGCTGGGGGTGTCATTTAGCAGTTGCTCAACTACATATGTTCTAGTCTCACACTTAAAAGACTAGGGAATTTTCTACTGTGTGGGTTCAGAGACACATTTGGCCTACTGTGTGTCACAGCTTAGCTAGAATTTTACTCCCCACCCCTCAACACCCAACTCCAATAAGAAGCCATGGTGATATTTTAGGCCATTAGGTATCTGTGTCACCCTTGCCTCATACCTGCTAGTAGTATTCAAATGTTTTTCTTTCTCTTGTGTGGTGGCTATTTTTACCTCAGCTTGACACAAGCTAGAGTTAGCTAAAAGGAGGGAACCTTAGTTGAGAAAATGCCTCCATAAGATGCCGCCATAGGACATTTTCTTAGTGATGTGGCGTGGACCGTGTGGTGACCATTGCTGCTTGACAAAGTTCCAGCATTTTGACATGGCAGACAACACTTCTCCAGCACATTTTTACTTTAATTTTTAGTAATTCTCCATTTGCCTGCAAATTTCAAGATTCCATTGTATTTGCCCCCCCCCACCCCGAGTTGTACTTCATTGTGTAAATGTACCACATTTTCTCTATCCATTCTTCAGTTGACCCCGAGTTGTACTCCATTGTGTAAATGTACCACATTTTCTCTATCCATTCTTCAGTTGAGGGGCATCTAGTTTGCTTCCAGGTTCTAGCTATTACAAATAGTGCTGCTATGAACATAGTTGAACAGATGTCCTTGTTGTATGAATGTGCATCCCATGGGTATATGCCTAAATGTCACACTATTAATGTCTTTCCTTTCAGTAAATTTTGTATGGGCTTTAGTAAATGATTAAAGTGTGTACAATGGTAACTTCTCAAAACAAAACAATACTTTGGAGAAAAATCCCCAGCACCATGGATCCAGGAATTCCATTGTGCCCTCCTAATTACACAAGAATAGTAATGTTAGAGATTTACCAGACACACCTGACCCAAGGATGAAATGCCTACAATTGAGATCCAGAGCCTGGGTCATTAAAAACAGGAGTTCAGTTAATAAACACAGGGAAATCAGAATGGTATAGTATACTGGGAAAAGAGTAAGACACCAGGACCTTCGCTTTGGGGAGTGTGATGAGGGGAATAAGAAAATGCAGTGTAATTTAAGTGCTCCCCAGAGGAAGTCCTTTTCCCATGGGCAGGGATTCGGATAAGGGTCTCCATTCTCTGGAGCTTGAGGAAAGTTCCTGCTTGCTAAAGCAGTCATTCTTCCTATCTCTAGCACAAGGAATTTGTGGCCCTTCATTAACATATGCTGGTACCTATTGTCAATGTCAACCCTAGATTCCTTAAGCCTGACCTCAAGCCAGCCCCAACTCACATGCCCCTTTCCCCCCATTGAATCCCTTTGTTAAATTTTTGTTTAAATTAAAAATAAAGAAGAAGGAGCGCAAGATGAGACATATTAGACATATTAACCAGTTTATTATAAGCC